CGATCAATCTCTCCATATAGTTATCTTTAGTTTTAAGTTTGATTACCATATTCTCGATCAATCTCTCCATATAGTTATCTTTAGTTTTAAGTTTGATTACCATATTCTCGATCAATCTCTCCATATAGTTATCTTTAGTTGTAAGTTTGATTACCATATACTCGATCAATCTCTATATATAGTTATCTTTACTTTTAAGTTTGGTTACCATATTCTCGATCAATCTCTTCATATAGTTATCTTTAGTTTTAAGTTTGATTACCATATACTCGATCAATCTCTCCATATAGTTATCTTTAGTTTTAAGTTTGGTTACCATATACTCGATCAATCTCTCCATATAGTTATCTTTAGTTTTAAGTTTGGTTACCATATACTCGATCAATCTCTCCATATGGTATATTTAGCCGTACTTAAAGTTATCTTTACATTGAATGTGAGTTACTGCTATTTCATGTTTATCTCGTTATCAAAATAAGTTACAGTATCATTGTCGACTCTGAGGTGTTTTAAAACACATTATCAAAATAAGTTAGAGTATCATCGTCGACTTTGAGGTGTTTAAAAACACACTATCAAAATAAGTTACAGTATCATTGTCGACTTTGAGGTGTTTTAAAACACATTATCAAAATAAGTTACAGTGTCATTGTCGACCTTGAGGTGTCTTCAAACACAATACGAAAAGAAGTTACGGTGTTATTGTCGACCTTGAGGTGTTTTAAAACACATTACGAAAAGAAGTTACGGTGTCATCAAGTCACGTGTATATATAAACATTAAAATACTCGTCACATCGGATCATCAAGTCACGTGTATATAAACATTAAAATACCCGACACATCGGATCATCAAGTATTGTGTATATAAACATTAAAATATCCGACACATCGGATTATCAAGTATTGTGTGTGTATATATGCAGATAAACATTAAAATATCCGACACATCGGATCATTAAGTATTGTGTATATAAACATTAAAATATCCGACACATCGGATTATCAAGTATTGTGTATATAAACATTAAAAACTTGAACAGTTCGACAAACTTTCTAAAGGAAAAACTATAAATTTCGTCTACACAGAGTTTAGGTCTTGAAGCCAATGGTCTGTCTTCGATGTCGTAATCAGTGCTGTAGGATATTTAGAGCTATTTAACATACTATGTTTATAGGGGTAGCATTACAACGTATTTTCAACCTGGATGTCACTTCAAGTGATCAAAGTGACCTGAAATTCAGACACAGCCATCTTTAATTTTAACTGTTGACCATATGAAGTGCAATCAGTCAACAGCCCACCTGCCGCTTATTTGACGGTTACTCGTATAAACGAATAGCGAGATTGACTGTCACGGTTATCTCGTCCCCACAGCTGAAAGTGCAGAGTGTATTCAGTTACAAACTTCGCGGCCCGAACTTTAGACCTTCCTTTCCGTAGCTCGGTCAAGTACTTGTGAAGTCCAAGTTTTAAAATAACAAGCACAAAAAAAGAAACAAGCAGACATCTACTTCATATTACATGTCACTATATTAACAAAACCGGTTCTACATAGATCGTATTGTTCAGTCTTTAGCTTGCGTTAAGTAGAACACAGCACAAAACACACCAACTCTAAATATACTGTCAGGTTGATAGCAGCTAGCCATTTGAACCAGTGTATTAGCAGCGATTTTATACAGAAAAACTGATGTGCTAGTTTCTAGTCAGAACAGATTCAGATTGGACTAGACCCAAATGTTGTGTTTTAAAACACCTCAAAGTCGACAATGATACTGTAACTTATTTTGATAGTGTGTTTTAAAACACCTCAAAGTCGACAATGATACTGTAACTTATTTTGATAGTGTGTTTTAAACACCTCAAAGTCGACAATGATACTGTAACTTATTTTGATAGTGTGTTTTAAAACACCTCAAAGTCGACAATGATACTGTAACTTATTTTGATAGTGTGTTTTAAAACACCTCAAGGTCGACAATGATACTGTAACTATTT